GTCGTTCTGGCGTACAAATTTCACCTACGACTGGCATCAGAATCAATGGTCAAACTCAACAACCCTTGATATCCTGAGCCAGTCTCACTAAGGCTAGCTGGTTATCAGCAGCTCTCCTCCTCTCTAAATTACGAAGGCAACACCTAATCGAGAACGCCAATTCCGAAATACCAATCACTGCACAAACCCAAATCTCTAATCCAATAGTCGAAACATAAGCCTCTGGAGATTAGTAAAATGAACATGCGCATTTACTGATGCACGTAACTTTAATTGAAATCGAAAAAAGCTTAGTGTCATTCAAGTTCCTCCAACTCCTTATTAAGTTGCCACAGGCCAAGCATTTGATGTGACCGTTTTCTTTCACGTTTCGCTATCAATTTAGCATTATGCTTCTCGCGCCACATTTTCGCCCATTTCGAAGTGGCTGATGGGCTGGACTCTTCAGACAGATCAGGGCTACCTTCAAGATCCGATTTATTAAACTAAAAAAGAAACATGACAAATATCAAGCCTTTTAGCAAACACTTCTTTGGGAAAAAAATATTTCCATTTACCAAAACATCGCTTCCTCGAGCTTTTAGCACAACTTCTTCCATATATTGATCCCATGGTAGGCCGTAAACATTAGTTGGCTTATTTAACTTAACGTCTTTGGAGTAATCACACTCGGTTTCGTTTCCACAATGTCTTTGCTATGGGATATAAACGTTGATTATGATTTTGGGAACTACGCACTTGTGCACCTGCTGGAGCGTTGACAAAGCTTAATGTTGGCACTTTACGATAGGCATTTTCACGGGCTAGCCTCTGTCTAATTGATTTCTTGGCATTGTTCAAAATCACGTCAATTCCCTGGACACCCAACTTGCCAAGTGTTTCCATATACTCTTCGGGAATGGACCAAAATATCGTAAGATTTCGGCCATCTTCTGAAGCTGTCATCTAAAAGAAAAAATGGTTTATTGGTTTGACAGTGCATTTTATGAAGCAAAAAATATAAGGATTAAGATATATCAGAGATTTCGCAAAAGCCAACGTTTTGATCAATTCTACGGATCATAGGAGTGATAATCATAATACATGACGCCAATTAAAATGACTATGTCGAAGCAAATAAAGGGAAAGATGACCGGAAAGACTGCAACGTAACAATAATAACTGTCCGTAGAGGCTACATGTCAGCACATACTCTTAGAGAAAAGCCATTACGTATTGCCCTCTCAACCGAAAACTGACTTTATGACAGACGACAAAAAACAGCCAAATAAATGTCAACTTTTTTTCAACCACTGGATTCACATATGAAACAAACTTTGGAAAAAAACCTAAAATACGCAACTAGAGCACTACGAATTCGCTGTCAAATTTTAAAAAAAATGCAAATTGGTGACCAAATTGGTACCTCCTTAGCCATTAGCTACCAATTCAGGAAATGATAGCCAAACGATTAAATGCGCATCAGGCAAACAAAATTCATTCAACAAAAAAGGACAAAAAATGTGTTAAAAGACTCACATTTGAAATCCTAATCTGCGCAAGGTGTTCGTGAAAGCCATCAGAGCCAAGAATCATCTGAATTCTTCGTTTGTACTTCCTCATTAAACGAATATCATGGTGTTTCGATTGAGATGTTTCCTTAGGTATAAAACCAGAGGATTTTGAGTTTACAAAGAAAAGTATGTGAGGAACAATTTCAAAAAGCTTTGTAGAAGATAATGCTGTCGAAAAAGGACGTATAGTGTGGCGTCGGATCATGGTGCAGACATATTGGACCACCTGGCCGCAGCCAATCCTATGTCCCTCTGCGTTCCAATGGCATGCGAGGAAGGTAAGCAGCCAACCAGAGAAGGACACGACTGAGATGCAGTATATAATGAGCGGCGTGGCCAGCATCGTGGACTCGGATGGAGAGCGCCTGACGTGTGGATCTGGCTTCTGATTGGTCAATAAAGCCTGTTCTGTTGTACCGGACTTTTACCTATTAGGGCTCGGGTATTCTACAATAGGGGCGTATAGGGGCGCAGACATATTTCACCACGCTTCCTTCAGCCAATCCTCTCTCTCACTGAGTTACAATGGCATGCGAGGAAGATAAGCAGCCAACCAGAGAAGGACACGAATGAGGAGCAGTTAAAAAGAGCGATCCAGTGCAGAATACCCAAGCCCTAATAAGAAAAAGATTGGTACAACAGAACAGGCTTTATTGACCAATCAGAAGCCAGAGCCACGCGTCAGGCGCCTTCCATCCGAGTCCACCGCGCTGGCCACACCGCTCCTTATAAACTGCACCTCAGCCGTGTCATTTTCTGGTTAGCTGCTCATCGTCCTCGCATGCCATTGGAGCACAGAGAGATACAGGATTGGCTGAGGCAAGTGTGCTATATGTCTGCGCCCTTAGACGTCGCCACAGCAGCTGTAGCGTGCTTGGGCATGATCAGAAGGCTTATGGACGAATAGAAAGTTTATTGGTAAAAAAATATCAGCGTGGGTCTCCGGTATCGGGGTTAAAGGGTCATTGTTTAAATGGGGTTCTTCTATACTCGGTCCAGGTTTCCCCTGTTCGCTCATTGGCTCCGGCTTGGATTCTAGAAATAAAAAGACAATTTCATGAGGGGATTGGCTAATCGGGCTTTGGCGCTCCATTTGAAACTTAAATGCTCCTCCCAACCGGAAGTCACGTGATGCTCTCCCCACGGCGCGCGACCGGCTCCCAACCAACGGCTGGATATCAAGATGGCGTCTTTCTGCCCGCACGCTAATCAGCCAGCGTTTTGGAATCAGAAATACTTTGCCAGACGTGTGGTTCTGGCTTGTGATTGGTCGGTAAAGACTGTTTGCTGTACCAGTCTTCTTTATACTAGTGCTCGGGTAGTCGACATTGATGGCAGCGGATGCGTTTTAAATAACGCGAATCAAACCCTAGCCCTTTCCCAAAAATGTCAACAGAGGCAATGACCCTTAAATGCCAGCTGAAGGTCATGGCGGTCATCAGATGTCCCATGCAATGGATCCATAGACAGTGCCCGGAATTAGAACTCCAGCATTTGACGAAGCATTGGCAACTGTCTGCCTCTGGGTGGTTGCATCTAGCCATCGTAACTCATTCAAACGTAAAGAGACTGTGGATTGCCGGAGGCCAGAGTGATTTAATATGTCTCCGCTCTTATACGTAGCTTCTGTAGAATACCCGAGCCCTTGTATCAAGAAGACTAGTACAACAAAACAGGCCTTATTGACCAATCACATGCCATAACTCCAAGTCAAGTGCCGTCTATCTGAGTTTACCGCGCTCGATACGCCGCTCATTATTTACTCCTCCACATTTGTGTCTGTTTCTGGTTGGCTACAAATCTTCCTCGCATGCCATGGAGTCAAGGAGAGACAGAGGATTGGCTAAGGTCAGCGTGGTCCAATATGTTTGCGTCCTTCATATTGCGTGTAGAATGCCCGAGCCCAATTAGGAAGAAGCCTGGTACAACAGAACAGGCTTTATTAACCAATCGCAAGCCAAAACCACACGTCAGGTGTCTTTCATTCGAGTGCACCACGCTGGCCACGCTGCTCATTATATACTGCACCTCATTCGTTTCTATCTCTGGTTTGCTGCTCATCTTCTTTGCATGCCATTGGTACACAGAGTGACGCAGAATTGGCTGAGGCTAGGTGATCCATTATGCCTGCGCCGTGATCCATCGCCACACTACATTGCCTCCCCCTCAGGAGTAAAGCTATTTTCAGCTTCTAACTTGGTTCACCGCACTGTTTTTGATATCCAGTGTTGGTAAAATATCCAGTTCGGCACTCCCCGCACCACACATCTCCCAGGACAGTGGCCCATGAGATTGGTTGACGAGGGACTTTGCTCTTGAAGACTTGCTGGAAGGACTCTCATCTATCGTAGGTCTATTCGCAGTTGCAGTCTAGCTGGCTTCTACAGTCCATGCTGGCGTCACTGAGTCGCCAATGCCTCTTCAGATGCAGTAGTCCTTATCTCGGGTAATGTCAATGGATTCAGTGTGTGGGATATCGGATGACCGCCATGATCATTTCAGCTGGCATTCAAGAGTCTTCGCCTCTGTCGACCATAAAAGAGAAAGAGCTGCAGTTCGAATAGCGTTATTCGAACACATCCGCTGCCACTAATGTCGAATACCCGAGCCCCAATAGGAAAAAGACTGCTACAATAGAACAGGCTTTATTGACTAATCAGAAGCCAGAGCCACGCGTCAGGCGCCTTCCATCTGAGTCCGCCAAGCTACCCACGCCGCTCATTATATGCTGTACCTCAGTCGTGTCCCTCTCTGGTTGGCTGCTTATCTTTCTCGCATGCGATTGGAACTCAGAGAGACACAGGATTGGCTGCGGCCAGGTGGTTCAATATGTCTGCGCCCTGATCCGACGCCACTGTAGAATACCCGAGCCCTAGTAGGTGAAAGACCGGTACAACAAAACAGGCTTTATTGACCAATCAGAAGCCAGATACACGCGTCAGGCGCCTTCCATCCGAGTCCACCTCGGTGGCCACGCCG